AATTTATCGCAACGGCATTATCGATCTTTTGTTGTCCAGTCAACCATTGTAGAAACTAGAGTTTTGAGGAACTGAATGTTAATATCTACTTCAAAAGAATTGGTCTTTAAGGCATGTTCTAGAAGTCACTAGACGCTAGTTTCGCCTAGAAGAAAAGATTGAATATTTTATTTTTTTTATTAATTTTTACTACCTACAAAATAAAATTATTTTAACTAATAATAAATCTACACACCTTAGTCCAAATAATAATATTACTATTAAAAGGAAAACATGATAACAAAATAATGTAATTAGTATTAAAAATTGTGGAGCGCCTAGGCAGGCCGCCGAGCCCGCCTAGACGTCGCTTATCCGATTTTTTCGGTCATTTTATGAAAACCGGAGGAAGCGATAAAGACTATAAGAAGATAGACCAGCCAAAACGAGACGAATCTGCTTGAAAAAATAACCCCTTAGCCACTTATCACTTCTATTCATGTCATTTGTCTTCTCCGCGAAACGGCTCAATCCATAATTTTGTTTCACTTTAATTCATGTCATTTTCCATCTTCGAAAAACGCATCAAGTCCATGATTGTGTTTCTGTTTTTCTAGCGTTGATGCTCGTACGATGGACGGAGTATACTACAAAAATTATTTTATTATTTAAATATTATTAAATTAGTTAAGACGATATGCAATTCTATTAAACACAAGTTCAGTAATAATATAAAATATTTTTTATATTTTTAAAACTTTTTTAAGTGTCTTGACTATTTAATATATAAATTTTATTGTTTATAGATAACGATATTTGCATACATATTACTTACATGTACTTATAAAATTTTAACTTTTTAAAAATTCATAATTTATACATTGCTCGATAATTAACCAATACTTAATCCATAATATTTATCTTCCTTTATTATAATTCTAAGTGCATGAAATGTTAAAATATTTTATAATTGAATTTTATTTTTAGGAACTTTAATCCTTATGCAACACAAAATATTCAAGGTTAAATATTTTATTTTTTATTTTTGCATTTTTTGGGTATATTTTAATTCATTTTTCTCAACCTATATAATGGGTTAATTAGTATCCATTCGAATATTTAGATATACTATATAATATATCTTCATCATTACCAAGTGCTATAATTTAAACTATGATACTTGACTATTTTATTTACTTATTTCATTTATAAGATAGTATATAAGAAAAATTATATTTTTATTAAAACTTCAATAGTTTTTTAACGTACATCAATATTTCTAAGATGAATGTAATTTTAAATTGTACCGAAACATCAAATATTGATTTTATTAATATATTAATTTAATTTTTAATAATATTATCAATACAAATGATATATTCAAGGCAAAATTGCTCTTAATATCATGACCTTTTTCGAAATTACAATTTAATCACGACTTTTTCAATTTTGCAAATCATATCACAATCTCCAGTTTGTTACAAATTGGAGCACCGATTTGCATATCCCGTGCAAACTGTATCACAATCTTTAGTTTATTGTTGGACCACATCGGCATTTCTATGACTGTTTCTAGACTGTTTTGCAACAAATTAAAGATTGTGATATAATTTGCCAAAGCGAAAGGTCGTGATTAAATTGCAACTTCGATAAAGGTCGTGATATTAGGGGTAAATTTGCCTATATTCAATGGACATTACCTTTCTAAGGAGAATCACGCGCGCATTGAGTGCAAGTATCGTCCCCGCGCAGACTCGCACCCAGCATAGGTGTTCTCGCGAACGCCTGCTTTCTAGCGCAGGTGTTCCCCTGAGCGACTCGCGCGACCAGCGTGCCCAATGCGACCCGTGTCCGCGTACCAGCGTGCACCCATCATCCCGGCGCGTAACAGCGCGCGCCCAACACCCCCAGCATGCAGCCCGCGTGCTCCCAACACCGAACTCGGGACTGCCCGGCCAGCAGTAGTCCAGTCCAGTTCACCCCCGCGTCCAACACCTAGTTTGAGCCCAACCCAGATCCGTAGTTGTCTAGGAGTCTCAGCGAGACCACGAGCAATTTCAGGTGGTTCGACCAAGCAACCGGAGGTCCGAGACAACTAAAAGGGAGGTACGAGCGACCGAAGATATGAGACGCAAGACATGGTCGTGGTACGATGGCGGTGAGAGTTCAGATGATCTTCAGCAACAGAAATCAGAAACGTCTCAGAGTCGACAATATTTTAAAACCGTAAATCTTATCCTAACTATAGATTCAACTGCGTTAGGATTTACTTCGTTAGATTCGAAGGTGCATATCGACGACGTTCCTCATAGAACCCAACAAGCTAAAGTTCTAATTAAATTAGATTTACAAACTTCTTGATATGTCTATCAAATAACCTCAATTTTCTAATCCCTGTGGGAAAATAGAAAATTAATTTGATTTTTTATCCTACATAATCAGAAAAAATATAGTAAAAATTCTCATGGATAAGATTCACCATATTTTATATGAAAATCACTACTTATGTTATTGTATACATATGTGGTAACCAACAAATTTTATATATATTTTAAATCAAATAAGGATGTTGTGGCTACTCATTATCTACTTCAAATTATAGTAACCACATAACATAAAATAACAAGTCATATAATTGTAAATCTATAACAACTATTTATCTATGAGCTATCAAGATTAATATATGTAACATGATTGATAAAAATAATTTTATCGCATGCATGATGTATAAATTTAAAGCATACAGAAATATTTCAAGCATAGACATGTTAATCATCATAAAGTAATACTTAAAAAAAATATTAAAAGCATTAAAACACATAATAATTAATTCGCAGTAAAATTAACATATATAAATTGTTTTTAATGATAACAGAAAAGGGAAGATGGCAGGCTAGTATGAGGGTTGACTTATAGGTCTTCCCAGGCTTTAAGGGGGTGATTGTTTATGGATTCAACTAGTTTTTATTTGGTTTGTTTTTTAACTATAATTAATTGTAAAAATTGGTGGTATGGTTAGTTGTTAGTGGATATATTAAAATAATATTAAAATTTGTACCGAAAAAAAATAATATTTAAATAAAATAATTAAAGTTGATTTGATATAAAGTAGGAGAAAAATGATTGAAAGTGATGGTTAGCTAAAATTATGTGAGTGTATG